GATAAAGTGGTATCGTAAGTCTATGTGTTTGGTTCGTATATGATTCGCTGCCTCTTTTGACAAGGCGATCGCCCCCACGTTGTCTGCGAACAACTGCAGGGGCAAGGCGAGCGAGATCCGGATACACTGGAAGAATGATTGTAACCACAGCCCATCTTGAATAGCTGCCGTTAAGGCCATGTATTCGGCTTCCGTCGACGACAAGGCGTGAGTGGTCTGTTTCTTGGCAGAGTGGGACACCGGACCCCCGTTGTAGAACCACACATACCCGGACACTGAGATCCTGTCCTCGGGACAGGATGCCCAGTCCGAGTCGCTGAAGCCGTGTAGTTTTGGATTGGTCCCAGGCCCCCCATAGCGCGTCCGCACGCTGATTGTGCCTGCAAGATATCGTAGAACGTGTTTAGCCGCGGCATAGTGGCACGATTCCGGCGATGTGTTGTGTTGCGCAAGGCGCATGATGGTGTGAGCGATCTTGGGACGCGTGTACATCGCGAGGTATAAGAGCTCGCCCACGAGCTTGCGGTACTCACTGGACAGGTCATCGATCTGGGGGTGAACATCAGTCGGACGTCCGAATGGAAAGCTCGGGTCCATGGGTAAGGAGACGGGGTTGCACTCTGTCATGTTGTGTTCCTGTAGTAGGTAGACAATGTAGTCCTCCTGGTGCATCCACAATTCCCGAGTCTGACGGTTACGCACGAATTGAATACCAAGATATTTGGTGACAGGTCCCAGGTCAGTGATCCCGAAACGGTCTGCAATCTTGGCCTTTGTCTCGTCGAGAAACGCGCGATTGTTCGCACCTGCTAGGCCGTCGTCCACGTGCCACGCGATAATGCAAATGATCCTCTTCCCCGCGGCATTGACGTGATCGAATATGAATACGGCGTAGTCTGCCTCGCAGCGCAGAAAGCCTAGGCTGGTTAATACCGCCCTAAGTAGTTCATACCAGTCATATGCCGCCTGTTTAAGGCCGTAAAGCGAAGAGAGTAAGTGGGCGACGAGATGTTGACCTTCCGGTCCCGAACGTTCGAAGCCAGGAGGTTGACGCATGTACACGTCTTCCTGTAACTTCCCCCAGAGGAAGGCGCGTTTAGCATCAAAACAGTCGAGTTCCCAGTCCATAGCGGCGCAATGCGCCGCTAGGACACGGATGGACGCTGCCTTAGCCACTGGAGCGAACGTTCTCCCAAAATCGACGCCGGGTATTTGGGAGAATCCCTGCGCGACCAGTCTCGCCTTAAATACTGGCCCACCTTTCAGATCCTCCTTGAACTCCAGGACCCACCGACATCCGATAGCACGTCGTTCCAACAGCAACTCAACTAGCTCGTACACTCCCATCTCGGACATGAGGTTGATTTCCTTGTGCATCGTGGCGAGCCAATCATCTGCATCGGGACGACGCATGGCTTCGTCGTAAGTGGCAGGGGGTACTTTGAGATTGTAGCCGGTGGCGAGAGGATTTCGGCAAGTGTCGCTGCGGATGGACAGGCACGCTAACTCAACGACGATAAGGTTGGCGAGGGTCTGAGAGAAACCGATTTCCTCGTTGTCTGGGATGATCGCGTCAGGGTCAGCTGCCGGATTATCAGGAGTTGAGGGGATAGGCTCTGGAATGGTGGTCGAGGGTCTCGACACGGACACTGACGTAGAAGAGGATGGGGGAGGTGGCACCCCCTGCACCTTTGCTGCCCGAATCTCGCGTTGACGAGCAAGGCGTGATTGGTCGGAGATGAGCTGCCATTTGAAAATGTCCCCTTTCTGCGTGGGGACAGGAATGCGCGAAGAACGACGAGGTAAGGTGGCTGTTGGAGTTGGTGCAGGCACAGTGACCGTTGGAGCAGGTGTGGGCACAGATGCTGTGTAAGACGGACGTGACGTGACTGGGGAGTCGTCATCGTCGTCATCGTCACTGTCTGGAAACGGACGATTAGTGAAAGTCTCGTCGAATATGACGTCCCGCGAATTGAAGAAAGTCCCCATTGCGGCGTCTCTACACCGCCATGCCTTGACGCCTGGTGGATAACCCAGGAAGATGGCCTCTCGTGAACGCGGTCCGAGCTTTTCCTGGAGTTCTGTAGGAATTCGCGCGAAACATCGTGCACCAAATACACGCAGATGAGTGAGCGTGGGTTGAGTGCCATTGAGCATTTCATAGGGTGTCTTCCCTGGTGGCAGGGCGCGTGATTCGGACCTGTTGAACAGATATGCAGCGGTGAGAGCAGCCTCTCCCCAAAGTGACCGAGGTAGGCGCGCATGAGCCAACATTGCATACATCCGGCCCTCGATCGTGCGCATGACATGTTCTGCCTTCCCATTTTGCTGATGCGCGTAGGGGGCAGAACGTTGTCGCACGATTCCTGCTAACTCCAGCGACTTAGTGAAGGCGTCGTTGATGAACTCACCCCCGTTGTCCGAACGGAAGATCTTTACACGACGTCCGGACAAATTCTCCCACTTCGCGCGTACCGTCTTCCAGGCGTCCAGTGCCTGATCTTTCGACGCAAGCAGCTGTAAGTTCAGGATGTGAGTGTGATCGTCCAGGAAGATGATGAAATAACGCTTCAAGTGAGGTGTGAGGATGGGGATAGGACCACAGACGTCAGCGTGCACAAGATCCAGGAAGTTGGAGGCGCGTTCCGTCTCTGAAGAGTGAAAGGGCATATGGGGGTGTTTCGCCATGATGCAGGACTCGCAGGTGGAGGAGGGTGAGTTGGGATCAATCACCACACCTTTGGCAACCTGGCTGAGTCGTGCGACCGCATTCCGCCCCAGGTGACCGAGGCGTGCATGCCACAGGTCAAGCGTCAGAGGTGCCTGCACGAAGGCAGCGATCTCAGGTGTGGTGGGAGCGAGCGATGCATCAGTATGGGGAATGAAGTCCAGGTTGATGGCGTAAAGTTTTCCCGTGGCAGGGATGATCCCCACTGACTTCCCTTTATATCCTAGTTCGCACGTCATATTGGATTTGAAATTGACGTCCCAGCCCTTAGCGTTCATGCAGGAGACTGACAGGAGGTTGAGCATTGCGCCTGGCGCATGCAGACAGTTTGAGAGTTTGACTCGAAGATGTCGATCCCCGACGGCCATCCATCCAATGCACGTCCCTCGACCGGCAGTCTGCAGGATCCCATGACTCACGGTGCGAACGGGTATGCAGTCTCCTTCCGAATATGTGTGAAAGAAACGGCGATCTCTGACCAGGGTGACAGTCGTTCCTGAGTCCAGGATGGTTGCAAAAGGGAGGGTGGAGGCGCATGCGATGTCGTCTGGGATTTCTGCAATAGACGCGAACGATACGTCGTCATAGAGGCTCTGAAGATTGGCCTGTGTCACGGCCGCTGCAATGACAGGAGTGGATGATGCGAGCGTCGTCGTGGGAGGTGCCGTCGCAGCTACAGCTGCGACGGCAGGCTTCTTATTCCGCATCCAGGGTGCTTGTCCCTCCATACCACCTCCCTTTCCGTAGCAATGCGCATGATCGTGGTCCCCCTTGTTGCATCCAGGTGTCGTGCAGAAAATGCCTTCAGGGTTATGCCTATGTTTGCGAAGACCGGTGATTGAGTTCACATTGGATGTGCCTGCGTGAGATGTGGCGGCAGCATTCGCATACTCAGACCCAGGCCGAGCAGAATGAATGGCTCAAGCATGCACATGTCTCACAGCTTCTGATGTGATACGGGACACGCAGCTATCCACTGTGAAAGTGGGAGGATTAGTTGCGGTCACGGTCATGATTTCGTCGTGCATGCGCTGCTCTACCATGGACTTAAACTGTTGCCAGATGGCGGTTTGAGGCAGCCCGATAAGCAAGCTGTAGATGGCGTCACTGTCCCTGAGAGGGGCTCCTGCGTCGCTGAGACGTTCACGTAGGACGGCATGTTGACCAACGTAGTTCGTGGCGTCAGCTGAATCTTTCATGTGAAGTGCATCAAGACGTTGGTGTAACTGATATTGTGCGCTCGTGTCGGTTCTGTTAAAATGTTCCGTGAGCGTCTGCCACACTTTGCGGGCTGTGACAGCATGCGCTCGTGATACTAACGCACCAACTGATGGACTAAGGCGACGCGTGATAAGATCTTTCGCCTTGATGTCGTTTAGCAGCCATGCACGCATCGCTGCTGTTTCAGCAGCCGTGACATTGGCGGGATCGATGGGAGCAGGTAACATGGACGGCGTCCCGAGGAGGTCTGCAGGGTTTACAATCGTATTAACATGGCACCATAGATCCTCGCACGCGAGGGCATATTGCATTTTGGTTGACCATCCGACGTAATTTTCAGATCCCAGCAGTTCGGGGATATGATCGAACTTCCCCATGACGATACCGCCGTGAGGGATGACAAGACAGGAAAATAATGTGTGAGCAGCGAGTGAACGCGGAAGCTTCGTCTAGTAGTTTCAGTTGAGGGCTCGATACGAGCCAGGGCTCATAACCTATTGGAAGTGAGACTAAAGACAAAAGCTCAGAGTTCAGGTAAGAACTGCTAGATGACATTGAATGTACCTAAAGACAAAAGCTAGAGAAGAATATAAGTGAAACGGAACCGGCGTGCATGATAAACGCGAAACGTACCTCAGAGTTCAGGTAAGAACTGCTGAGGTACGCTGTACAAAGAGGGAAAGATTATAAGGTAATGTTACGTAAGACAAACAGGAACAAATTGAAAGTGACGTCGATGAAAGAAACGAAAAGAGCTAAGTGTCGATGTTGGAATCCAACATAGCAGAGGATAGGAGAGTAGAGCAGATGACGCAGTTAGAGGAGGCAAGGACTCGACCGGCAGATTCCGGGGTCTCGGGGCTTGGGGTCTAGGAGCACATAGAGCACACTCTTGTATCATACCACACACGACGACAACGACGCTGTCTTCACCCTTTCCCAAGCGCAAGGCTGGCTAGGACACCGTTTTGGCCATAGGTAGAGTTCACTTGGGCATGTGCAAGAATATTTGAACATCAACCCGCAATACGGCAGAATGCAACCAGCTTATCTCCACTAGTACTCAGACATGTTTGCGCATTACAGATTGGCGCCACAAACTCCTCGCAATGTGGTGGATGCAATAGCCTCCCCTCCAAACATGCCAAGGCTTTCCAAGTTAGACCAGACGAGCATCACTACCACCGAGTCACCTGTTGTTATGTAATAGGGGATCGACTGCCAGCATGCCATAATTGTCGTCAGTGGTCACCCTCTACGTCAAAGCTTCGAAACTTATTCGTACCTCTAGGCTCTGAATATGATGTTTGGTTCTACTCAGTTCAAAGATCAATCAACTTTGCAATGTCTTGTTCTGAAATATGGTCCAAAACGAGTCCTTGTTAAACGACAAAAGTCGTACAATGTGAGTGGAACAACTATTAAGATCTCTAATGGCTCACAGATACCATAACTTCTAAGCTCATGCTTGACTCCGCCTGCAAACATTTCCCGAGCATTCCGAGAGATGTAGTCATGTTGCAGACCAATCGACCCAATGTTTGCGATGGTCACTATGCGGACATCACGGCTGAAATATGGACCGATATCATCGACTTACTTCACGTCGTTGAAGTGACTCGGCGTGTGGAGATGGCATTGCCCGCCCCGCTGCCGTTTTATGATCGGGCCATTTCAAAGTTGCCTGACAATAAATCAGCACCAAGTGAGGTTTATTACCAGGACAGCTCGTACGCACCCCAAATATTCTACAAGTGTTTTCAGTACTGAAGTTGAGACCACATAGCAGGAACGACGACGAGATTTGGGACATTGTCCCAATCCTGTCAGAGCGGGTATCAGAATCCGACGACCAAGTCACAGTCAAACTTGTTTCTCAATCTGGCAAGATTAGGACTACTAAAATATCGAGGGGAATGCAGGTGGACAAGCTTGTTGCTCGTGCTTGTCAGATATTGGATACTTCAGGTCCTGCCAGGGCAATTTTTGGTGGGGTAACGATGTGTGTGAACCGGACTATCGGATCATACGACATCGAGGATGGTGACTCCATCGATATTCAAGTTGATCGTATGCGTGTTAGAAAGCCAATCATTTATCTATACTCGCCCTCCGACATCGATGTTTCTGTTAAGCTCGCCCTCATTCCTGAATGGAGACTCTCTGTCATCTATCCCATTGTTACCACAGAAGACCATGGTCGGCGTTTGGAATGGAATGTCCGCACCCATCAAGATGGCAGTCTGACTGAACACAACTCTGGTTTGAATGTCTCGTACTTGTTCTGGGAGGCGGAGTAAGTCCCCTTGATGATACAGAAATCACTCTCCTGACTTGTCTTGCTCTTCGCAGGACAAATTCGCAAGAATTTCTCCGGACACCAGCATACAAACCGCAACCAGTGGATACATTCAATCCAGTATCCAACAGTCTCGATGATACGGATTCAATTGTCACTCCAGTGGACAGAGTAACAGTTTACCTCGATAACTCACTCAAGGTTTTGGGACTTCACACCGAAGCTAGAACATCATTCATAACGTGCGTATATATGCGCTACCTCAGGCTGTCAATTTGTAAACACAACACTGAAACTGCCATGGTACTAGCTACTGGCTACCATCCTTCCTCAAGCACGAATACGTTGCACTCCGATTTATTCCTCAAGCAGCATTCGAACGCGCCGCTTCTTTACACATTTCTCCGCAGCCCGACGTCGTGACTCGGGTATTTATGCTGTTCAAAGGTATCCGTAAGGAGGACTTGACAAATTGGACCAATGCACGAATTCAAGCAGAGAAAGACGTTGCTTGGTGGGTGGATGTGGTTGGAGTTGATCCTGCAAGAGCTGGTGATGTGACTTTGTTCAGGGCGTTGGAATGGGGCGGGATGGAGGTTCTCATTTGATATTCTATCTGGTTATGTACTCGATTTGTGTAGGTGTTATCGCGTTTTGTCTTGATTATGTAGTTCTGCATCCGACAAATGTGCAGGTGAACTTATGCACTCGGAAACGTTCACTCCTTTCTGTGAGTCTATGAAGTATGAATTATCAGCCGGGAACTCGACCTCTTATGTTCCAAAGACTTGCTGACCGTTCGTACGATTCTTCAGGTAACGCAGTAGCCTTCGTTTTGAGATGCAATCAGGCTAACGAGGCATAAATGACTTGCAGCTCGAACGTGACGGCCATTGATTTCAGCATCCCCGAGTTAAAATACACAATTGTTTCTTCTTTTCAAACTATACAGATATCTGTGTACTAGTTACCGGTGCCCTATTCTGAGAGCCGGGACATATGAAGTTAACGTGTGGCGGGTTCCGTATGTATTTTCAGTGCGAGATTAGTAAGCCTGAAGGACAATACCAAACTCTATTAGTTCGACTTATTTAGAAGTCCGATCTCTAGGCTCTAGTGTTGCCGCGAAGTGAACCGAAGAAGTGGAAATTTGAGACACTGCCGCAGTAAATTACGATGGCAGTAAAGTCCACTTCTCCCTGTTTGACCAGTCCAGGCCAAGCCAAAAACCCAGCTGTGTTCAAGACTCAAGTGTGTCGAGAAGCCTTACCGTTTTCGCATCCCAAATTTCTGCTGCGTACTACCAGTGTCTCCGCCCGTCGCAAGTTTTGAAGAGTCAGGCGAGAACATCACCGTACAAACATCTTTTCCCTGTTTCAATTGTAAGGACAGTTTTGCCGCTGTCGACATCCCAGACTCTTGCTGTCTCACCCTAGGATCCTACCATCAGTGCTCCATATGTCCTGTCCAACTGACAATGACCCTCGTCTCAATATCCCACAACCTCGCTTTCTTGCCATCGCCTCTACTTGGAACTATAGTATTGCCGTTTGGAGACAATCCCATGGGTCGCACTTCGGCACGGAATGCAACCAGATTATCTCCACTAGTACTCAGACACGTATGTGCATTGCTAAAGAGAGAGATCAGCGCCACAGAAGACCAACAGTGCAGCAACATAGCATGACGTGGTGCGTGCAATAGCCATTGTTTTTTTCTCTCCAAACACGTCCAGGCTTTCCGAGTCAGGCCCGATGCATCACTACCACCGAGTCGCCTGTTGTTAAAAGGGGATCAAATGTGCCAGCATGCCATAATTGTCGTCAGTGGTCACCCTCTACGTGAAAGCCTCGAAACTTATTCGTACCTCTAGGCTCTGAATGTCTGGTTCTACTCAGTCCAAAGAGACATCAATTTTGCGATGTCTTGTTCTGAAATGTGGTCCAAAACGGGTCCTTGTTAAACGACAAAAGTCGTACAATGTGAGTGAAACAAGTATTAAGGTCTCTAATGGCTCACAGATACCATAACTTGCAAGCTCATGTTTAACTCCGCCTGCAAAACTTTCCCAAGCATTTCGAGAGATATACTCACATTTCAGACCAATCAACTCGATGTTTGCGATGGCCACTACGTGGAAATCACGGCTGAAGTATGGAGCGATATCGTCGACTTGCTTCACGTCGTTGAGGTGACTCAGCGTGTAAAAATGACATTGCCCGTCCCACTGCCGCTTGATAATCGGGCCATTTCATTGCCTGACAATCAGTCGGCACCAGGTCAGGTTAACGAACAGGATAGCTCGTACGCACCCCAAATATTCTACAAGTGTTTTCAGTACTGAAGTTGAGACCACATAGCAGGAACGACGACGAAGTTTGGGATATCGTCCCAATCCTGTCAGGGCAGGGGCCAGAGTCTGACGGCCAAGTCACAATCAAACTTGTTTTTCGATCTGGCGAGATTAAGACTATTACAGTCTCGAGGGAAATGCAGGTGGACAAGCTTGTTGCTGATGCTAGTGAGATATTGGGATGTCACCTCGCTCTTATCGATGCAATTTTCGGTGGGGTAAGGATGCATGCGAACCGGACTATCGGATCGTACAACATCGAGGATGGCGACTCCATCAATATTCGAGTTAATGATTTCACGCGTATCAGAAAGCCAGTCATTTATCTATACTCGCCCTCCGACATCGACGTTTCTGTTAAGCTCTCCCTCATTCCTGAGTGGAAGCTATCTGTCATCTATCCCATTGTTACCACAGAAGACCATGGACGGCGCTTAGAATGGAATGTCCACACCCATCAAGATGGCAGTCTGACTGAACGCGATTCTGGTCTGAATGTCTCGTACTTGTTCTGGGAGGCGGAGTAAGTCCCCTGATCATACAGAAATCACTCTCCTGACTTGTCTTACTCTTCGCAGGACAAATTCGCAAGCAGCATCCAAACCGCAACCAGTGGATACATTCAATCCAGCATCCAGCAGTCTCGATGATACGGATTCAATTGTCATTCCAGTGGACAAAGTGACCGTTTACCTCGACAACTCACTCAAGGTTTTGGGACTTCACCCCGAAGCTAGAACATCATTCATAACGTGCGTATATATGCGCTACCTCAGGCTATCAAATCGTAAACACAACACTGAAACTGTCGCGGTAGCTACTGGCTACCATCCATCCTCAAGCACGAATACGTTGCCCTCCGATTTGTTCCTCAAGCGGCATTCGAACGCGCCGCCTCTTTACGCATTTCTCCGCAGCCCGACGTCGTGACTCGGGTATTCATGTTGTTCAAAGGTATCCGTAAGGAGGACTTGGCAAATTGGACTAGCGCACAAAATAAAGCAGAGAAAGACGTTGCTTGGTGGGTGAATGTGGTTGGAGTTGATCCTGCAAGAGCTGGTGATGTGACTTTGTTCAGGGCGTTGGAATGGGGCGGGATGGAGGTTCTCATTTGATATTCTATCTGGTTATGTACTCGATTTGTGTAGGTGAACTTATGCACTCGGAAACGTTCACTTCTTTCCGTGACTCTATAAATATGAATTATCAACCGAGAACTTGACTCTTATGTTTCAAAGACTTGCTAACCGTTCGTACGATTCTTCAAGTAACGCAGTGGCCTTCTTTTTGAGATGCAATCAGGCTAACGAGGCATAAATGACTTGCAGCTCGAACGTGACAGCCATTGATTTCAGCATCGCGAGTTAAAATACACAATGGTTTCTTCTTTTCAAACTCTGCAGATATCTATGTACTATGTGGTGGTTTGCAACATATCCAGAAGTTCCACCAATTGAACATGAGGACGAGCTGAAATACTACAAGGGAAAGTCTTAGGGTGACTAAACAATCATATCAGTAACGAGAGGATAGAATAATAGGAAATGAAGTACTAAGTGATACCCGTCGCGAACTCGGGGGTGAAATCGATTGCTTTGCCCTGGTCATCTTTGGCGGAAGAAATATCCACCGTGGACAACATTGTCACAATGGCAGACCACACAGAGGCGTCAGCAATGTATCTGCCTGATTAAAGAACGCCCTGGTTCATCACTTGCTGATGTCGTGGGGATGGATCGACCCACCTGGGCATATACGCCGGCCTAGGCCAAAAATATATTGCACAGGGTCATCGTCCGTCAGCGCGCCGTTAATGTCGATGAATCTCTCTGGAATAAAATGACATGCATCGGGATACCGCTTTTCATCATGTGAAATGGCCCTAAGATTAGGTTTTGTGATATTTCGTTGAAGGCTGAGTGAGCAGGATGTATCTAACCATAAGTTGCACATGACGATCGCTCCTGATGTACAATATTTAGCCCATTAATCATCTGTTCATCAGGAAAAAATAAATAACAGACCTTTTGGGATGTAGTGACCATCATATGTATCTTCACTCGAGGTAGCATGTGGGATTCCTATCAGGTAGTCTTCAACAAATGCAAGAACATTTAATGACGAGCATCACCAAGTGGTGCAATCGGCATCCACCGGTAAGTCTCCCGCACAACTGCATCGACATAGGGTAGTGATTTCTTGTCCTCAAACGCAGGCAACCGATCTCTTCCAATGACCAAGTCGATCTCCGCTTGTGCGCGTTTCTGGACATCTGGATATAGCACCATGGCAAGAACAAAGACCATCAACATCCCGGTAGTCTGTGGAAAGGTCAAGTAGCAGCAATATATATTTGACGTCTTACAGTCTCATATCCACCTACATAATGTGTATATCGTGAGCGTTGGTGCTATCTCGAAAAAAGTTGCTCACCTCCAACAGCAGTGGCAGCTGTGTTTTTCAAGGCGGTCTCAAACATTGATTTGAACGCCTTGTCTTGCTTCTCTACCCTTTGCAAATTTTCGGCCACCATTGAAGATGTGTCCAGGAGTAAGTTGTCAGCCTTGGTGGGCATCGAATTAGGTCGGACTACCAGCGAGAAAAAAATAGACGTCACCATACGACGCTGCACATATTGAAACGGCACATCCACCATTTCATTGATGCTATTGGTCGAAATCTGAGCATCACGTTTGATCGAGGATCCTGGGCACCAGTCAGGCAACTTCAGTACTGCAAAACGCATAAAATATCAATGATTTCTCGTCAGAGGTGCTGCGCTCACAGAAGGGGAAAGTTTTGATCACGATTGCCCTCTCTGGAGTCAACCAGGGAATGCCAAGTTGCATTGAATGTGCGAAGAGTCCAACCAAAGGATCATCTTGAGCACTGGACTCGTAGCCATATACAGCTGATATCACAACAGAAGACGAAAATCTATGAAGAGGTTGATAATCGCTCGATATTCGAGAAAATACATTAACTGACGTTGCAAAGTGGGAATCATAATGTTGAGGATCGGAAATTAGGTTGACGATCATCTCACGAGCCCGCCTGATCTGCATTGGGCGGAACTTGAGTGCAGATTCGGCATGGAAGGTTTGGTGGAAGAGTCGTCGGCTAAGACGCCATGCATCATTATAACCTGCGAATAAAAAGTTAAACATCCAGCCAAATCTGTTTAGAGATTTCAGACCGATTCAACGAAAAAACAAACAAACAAGGAAACACACGGTTCAACTGTGGCTAAATAGGGTCGATCGGAGTAGATTCGGGAACGGTTGTGCAGCAAGGCGCGTGCAACACGCTGAGAATTGATGACAACCACTTTCTGGTCTAGAATTCGCACGAAAAACAAGTCTCCTGATAGTACAATGAGCATCATATCAGCGCTAACTTTCTGCTCACGTACCATAGATAGCATGCCATTCAGTATAGGTTAACCAAGGTCGCTTTGTGTTGATAGATAAGACATTCCCCAACAATGGAAGCGGCACTGGACCAGGAGGAAGAGGAGGTTTATGTTGTCTGTTCCCAACGAACCGCCTGAGGATAGTAATGACAACAAAAGAAACGGATAGGACGGCAAGAACGGCAAGGCTATCAACTGAAGGGGTCCCGGTCATGATTAGAGCAGCTATCCTTGGGCAAAATTAACGATCTTTTTATAAATGCAAGGGGAGATTCTTATCGCGAGTTGTGATTGGTGTTTCTAAATCGCATCGGTTCAAACCACGCCGTTAGATCCGGTTGTGGCCCAACAAATTCGACACGCCGAAGAAAGAATACAGAAAACGAAAACCACGTTTCAACGTACTTTGGTTGGTGGATAGATATTCAAAGACAGGCGGGTGATGCTTCAGTGAAATGGACCACAGTATTTCTGATGTCCAATGGCAAGGAAATCAATACATAGTGCAAAAGGCAGTTCCTAAAATAAAACAGTTACCCTGATACTTCGAACCAAACCATCAACTTACATTACGTAATATTTGAGGTCATGCGTGAGGCACATTCGACGAGTCATTGACGTTCAACTGAAAACGCTCCTTCATGTACTCAATGCCTCCACTGGGCATTTGTGCAATCGAGAGGCACAAATCAACACCTTCATAGAAAGTAGAGTATGAAGAGCTTTTGTATTTATTCATGATCCATGCCTATTAAGCAACGGTCACAAAGTTATGTTGGTGCATACGTGGGAGAGCCAGAAGCCGCTGCTACATGATATTCAGGGCAAGGTCGTGTATGATTTAGACCCAGTCATGACTGTTGTGAAAATGCAGACATTCTGCGAAGTCTCGCAATACAGGGTATCACTGGGCGTGGACTCGGTGCTGCATGAACCAAAATAACAACCAACGATCAGTCAACTCAATGTTTGTCTTGTATCAACACTCGGCACTCACCATCGTCTACATGTCGGATGTTCTACTTTCTTCGAAGTCTGGCGCACTCGCAAACAGCGTTTGGAATATGCGAGGATCATGGACTAAATTATGGGCTTTTGAGTACTTATCGGAAGTTACTGATCAGACAGAGAACATGTAAAGTTCATTGAGAGGAAATGGTAGATTGAGGCTCGAAGGAACTCGTAGTTTCATGATTAGCAATTACAAATTTGGTCGCTACAAACAATAAATAATAGTAGGTCCACGTCGACCCCTAGTAGTACTCATGCACTTTGGCCATCAGTAAACCGGTGAGTTCTTGCTGGGGATTATGCTGATTATGGTGCTTTTACATGGTCATATATTGCTTTATATCACTTTATATTACAATGTGACGAAAACCTTTCCTATATATTACGATATATAACGATATATGACGATATCTTCTTCTCACAGGTTCTCTGATGCGCCCCTACTTGTATGCGCCACACAAGACCAACCAAAGACCAGCAGCGATAACCGCGCAGCTGCCAGCAACATAGCAGAACGTAGCATGACGTGGCGATAAAGACCGCTTGCTACTATTAAATATTAAGGGATCCAGTACCAGCATACCAAGCCTGATTATAGACGGCGTCGTCAGTGATCACCCTCTATTTGAAAGCCCAAGAATTTGTACCTTTGAATGTCTTCTTCTACTAACGAGACTCAGACAAAAGACAAACCATATTCGCGTCTTGTCCTGAAACACGGTCCAAACCGGATCCTGGTTAAATGGCAAATTTCGTATAATGTGAGTGGAACAACTAGTTAAATCTGTAATGGCTCATAGATATCATGAGTCCATGCTTGACGCCGCCTGCAGACATTTCCCAAGCATTCCGAGAAATGAGGTCATGTTGCAGACCAATCGACTCGCTGTTTGCGATGGCCTTTATGCGGAAATCACGGCTGAAGTATGGGACGATATTCTTCACTTGCTTCACTCCGTTGAGGTGACTCGGCGTGTGGAAATGACTTTGCCCGTCCCACTGCCGCTTGACAATCAATTGGTGCCAAGTAAAGTTAACGAACAGGACAGCTGCTCGTATGCACCAAATATTCTACGTGTGTTTTTCCGGTACTAAATTTGAGACCACACAACAGGAACGATGACGAAGCTTGGTACGTTGACCCAAACCCGTCAGGCCAGGCGCCAGAGTGCGACGACCAAATCACAATCAAACTTGTTTCTCGATCTGGCGAGATTAGGACTACTAAAATCTCGAGGGAGATGCAGGTGGACAAGTTTCTTGCTCAGGCTAGTCAGATATTCGGATATTCAGGTCTTGTCAGGGCAATTTTTGGCCAGGTAAGGATGCATGCGAACCAAACTATCGGATCGTACAACATCGAGGATGGCGACTCCATCAATATTCGAGTTGATGATTTCACGCGTATCAAAAAGCCAGTCATTTATCTATACTCGCCCTCCGACATCGACGTTTCTGTTAAGCTCTCCCTCATTCCTGAGTGGAAACTATCTGTCATCTACCCCGTTGTTACCACAGAAGACAATGGACGGCGCTTAGAATGGAATGTCCGCACCCATCAAGATGGCAGTCTGACTGAACGCGATTCTGGTTTGAATGTCTCGTACTTGTTCTGGGAGGCGGAGTAAGTCCCCTGATCATACAGAAATCACTCTCCTGACTTGTCTTACTCTTCGCAGGACAAATTCACAAGCAGCATCCAAGCCGCAACCAGTGGATACATTCAATCCAGCATCCAGCAGTCTTGACAACACGGATTCAATTGTCACTCCAGTGGACAAAGTGGCCGTTTACCTCGATAACTCACTCAAGGTTTTGGGACTTCACACCGAAGCTAGAACATCATTCATAACGTGCGTATATATGCGCTACCTCAGGCTGTCAAATCGTAAACACAACACTAAAACTGCCGTGGTAGCTACTGGCTACCATCCATCCTCAAGCACGAATACGTTGCCCTCCGATTTGTCCCTCAAGCGGCATTCGAACGTGCCGCTTCCTTACGCATTTCTCCGCAACCCGACGTCGTGACTCGGGTATTCATGTTGTTCAAAGGTATTCGTAAGGAGGACTTGACAAATTGGACCAATGCACGAATTCAAGCAGAGAAAGACGTTGCTTGGTGGGTGGATGTAATTGGAGTTGATCCTGCAAGAGCTGGTGATGTGACTTTGTTCAGGGCGTTGGAATGGGGCGGGATGGAGGTTTCCATTTGATATTCTATCAGATTATGTGTTCAATTTGTGCAGGTGTTATCGCGTTTTGTCTTGATCAGTTTTGCATCCGTGAGGAAAACGTGAACTCGACGTTGTCCACGAAATGAATGCATATAATTAAACATGCCCGCAGTTGGAAGGCTGTGGTTAGAGCAAGGCTAAAGATCCAAATTCGAGTCTACATCTTATGACCAGAAATCGTAAGTTACACGCCGTTGACCTAAAGACACTGATGAATATACCAACCATAAATCACGTCCGACTCCTGCCCCACCCCTTCTTGTAAAAGACAACATAGTTGGTCAAAAACCGCACCTGTCCCAGCGTCCCAACGGCCTTGACGCTTCACCGTCTCCGCACAACAGCGATTGCGCGTTCAACGAGTTGTGAAGTATCCCTCCTGACGTGACTCTCTAAGCTATCGGGGCCTTCGATCATAGATCCACGTTAATCCACCCGCACATGCCGACTGTAATGCCTAAGAGCGTTCTACGAGGCCTGTCCTACCCAAACTCCCATGACAATGCACAAGGATACTTGCACCACGTATGGTGTAATCGTCGATGAATTCTGTCAGGGACTCGTTGACTAGGGCGATGGTGAAGCAAGGCCTTCAGGCAGTGGTATCCTGAAATCACAATGAAAGTGAGCAGCTGAATGATTCAACAGATGAAGTATTTACGGAAGGATGTCTATTCCTGCCCGGTGTGCAGAGTCCACGTCACGGTGGTCTGACCAGCGTATCCCAACAAATTCAAGCTCTTCATCATCTAGACAACTCAACATATCCACTGCACAGACAATACAGCGCGCTACAACTTGACCAAACAGCCCTTGTGATCATGGAAATCTGATGTCGGCTCGGAACGAAGCAATGCGCTAGACGCTCTCAGTTTGGTGGTATTCTGCGATGCAACCGAAATCGCCAGAGCAGAAGTCCCTCTTTCTTGCAGAGAATTCGCTTCTGATTGCTTCCATTAAGCATTTCAACGCGGATTTCTAGGCCAGGTAGAGAAGTGGAAGGAAGGCATCAAACATCGATGAACCAAGTTGATGTGTTACAAGTAGTGCTCACTGTTCGGCATCTTCCGCGTCCATCCATCTGTTCTCTACGGTGAGACGAAGAATGAGCGCTAGCGCTTAGTCGGGCGAGCACAATTAACTCACATCAGACCACTTTTTGATCATTTTTGACCGGTCATTTAAACTAGGAATTATAAGGGCTTCAGATTCAGAAGTCATAGACTCGAGTCACTTCAGCATCAACCCTTCTTCTGTTTCCACTCGTCATCAAAAGTATCTTCAGACTCTAGGGTATCATGGATCCTCGTCCAAGGGTGATATGTCTTCCAAACACCATGACAAACTGGCCCTGGCCCCGCGCGATGAATCCTCATTATGAAGTTGTGAAAGCTGAAGTCGATGCTTCGTTCCGTGAATTCAAGGCTCTGAGTGCCGAGTCACAGGAAGCGTACGACAAGTGTGATTCTGGTTCGGCCTCTGTTTTTACTTGCTCATAACTCCTTAATGGTTAACAGCGGACAATTGCTGCTTTTGTAGCCCGTTTAGCAGGACTGGGTTATCCCAATGCATCAAGAGGTTCGTCCCTGACCCTAGCTTGGATTCTCGTGAATCGCACACCTCTGATTCTATTCTGGCCATATAGAACACCTTCGAGTCGCCTGCGAGCTCATCAATGTTTTCCTCATCGTGGACGAGTACACCGACGTTGAAAATGCAGCAGTTGCCGAAGCAATGGTGGGCATCGTCATTGATGCCCTACACAATCCTCATAAGACGCGACCAAAAGGCGAGTGCATCCTCGGTGAAATCGTACGACAGCAAGTATCTTCAAATTGTCTAATTATGTGTTCTGAAGTCTAAGAAATTTTTACGCAGATTTTGGGCTCGTGCGATTGAGACCGCAAGCCTACCTTTTCAACGTCACTTCCTTGACAGCTACACCGCATACCTTCGTGCAGTAATTGTCGAGGCTCTCGATCGCGACAAGGCTCATTGCCGTAGTATCGTTGATTACATCAAGCTCCGGCGGGATACATGTGCTGCAAAACCTGCCATCGCAATATATGAAATGGCAATGGATCTTCCCGATGAAGTGTTTTATCATCCCGCCATTGTCGAACTGGTCGAATGCATTGCAGAGTTGATGATGATTGACAATGTAAATTCGTATCGAATACGTGATCTGCAATCGCTAACAGCATTCACAGGACATGATCTCGTACAACAGAGAGCAAGCGACAGGGGATGAAAACCATAACTTGATCACTACTGTTATGGTGGAACTTGGCCTCGACAGAAGCGGTGCCATGGTCTGGGCAGCACGCTATCACACCGAAGTCGAGAAAAGGTTTACCGATGGTCTCGCCAAGGTACCTTCGTGGGGACCTTCCACCGATGTTCTAGTCAAGGAGTATCTTGATGGGATGGCAACATGGGCTCGAGCAAACCATTCTTGGAGTTACGAAACTCAAAGGTCTCATGGATTTCCAATTGGATAAACGATTACTCACTCTGATTGAAACTGCAGATACTTGGGTACAAGGGGCCTAGAGATACAACGAACTGGCCTTGTCCCATTACTGCCCAGGGTCAACTGCAAAGCCTCATCCGCGGGAGCAAAGGTTAATGTGGCTGATTTATCCATGATGGATGCCACAGCAGGCCGTAAGCATATAGAAGCTCCAGACCAACCCAACTCGTAACTAGTGTGTTCCACAAGCGCCGGGCCCACCGTCGCCCTAGGTGATAAGTGTGATATAATCCACATCTGTTCAGAAGAACGGGCATAGACCGCAGATAATGTTGTAGCGAATATGACATTTATCTTCAGGTGTGGCGCCCCTCTCGCAGAGTTCGCAGCTCGTTTTCCATGCACGTACCTCACGTTTCGTCGACTGATTGTTCAAGTTCGTCAGATACACAGTAGTTTACAATAAGCGATATCATGAATACAATATCTCTTTTCTACTAGTCGTGGACTTAATACGGACGCAGAAGCAGGTGTAACGTGGTCAGACCGCCGCCCGCGCATAACCGTTACACCAAAAGGTGAAATACTGAAAGCTTAGCTTTCAGCATCAGCGACGGTGTATATAGAACTCAGATAAGCCAGCGTGCTTACACAGGGGCGATCTTGCCAATCTCGGGTTACCACCAACGCACAGTGATGACGGCTCGTCTGATGTGGACAGTGTATGGTAGTACTAGAGATATCGGCCTACGTATTTCTGGTCAGCGATTTAGCTACAAAGAAGATACAGAATGCCATCCAAGCCAATAGATAATACATAAATGTATCAGGGAGCAGTATATGTGTACAACAAAAATAATCTGTGTGTTTGATTGATGTAACAAATTGCGACGACCATAAGTCCAGAGTGGAAAGGTCTTGGATCAAGCATCCAGTTCAGGGAACACTATGATATATGTATGCGTGCTTCATGGAAGTAACGCCAGTAACCAGGAAGTAGATGTGCAACAGAAAACCAAAGCTTCGGAAAGTACTTGGTCAAGCCGAAGTTACACAGATGAGAGTATGACTCACACTATATAGTTGACACGACAGACGGTCCGCCTGAGTTGTCTTACATACCATGAATCGTAATCCGATAAGACCCGAATATAATACGAATGCGACGCTACAGTATGCGTCCATCCTCCAGACCTGAGTAAGACAAATCGACCACATCGGAAGTCCTATAAACATGGACACACGAGCTGGAGAAGGATGTGCGATCGGCAGCGTTCGTCTACCTATGGAGCGATCTCCTTCTTGGTCTTTGAAATCCTGTGCTTGGAGCGTGGTGGCGAACATAGCGATGCTAAGCAGCACAGCTAAGAGAGCATTCGGCTCTAGCCGCGACATATCTCGGCCTGGTTGCGATAGTTAGGTATTTTCTTATTTGATATCAGCTACATACCTGCAATGAGGGTGGCCCCAGCCTGGAAGCAAGCATATCCTAAGCCGGTCATTAAGTTTTTTGAAAACCAATGACTATGGGCTTTGAATTCATTGTACCAAAGAGTGAGCAGAGTTATCGCTAGGCTTGCGCTTAGCACTTGGATGCTGTAGAATGCTGATGATACCAAGCATATGGGGACCAAGGACCAGCGTAGATAGACCGCATCTCGTAAACTAATGTATCCCGCTGGTATTGGTCGACTAGCTTTGTTCCTGCCATCTTCTGCTGGATCAATCACTTGATTGGCAACATTGAAATGAAGGAGATGAAGCCAAATCCACCAGACCACATGAACACATCGGTAAGGGCTGTAGAGGGGGGCTGACACCAGTGCGAAAAGTGTCTGCGTCTATCATCTCAGAACAGAAAGTTACTGGGAAACGCTATTGTTTACCGTTGGAATGATCGTCGTCAGAATATCATTGTGCGTGAAGAGATAGAGTGTAAATAGGGATTTTGAGATGGGTCGTCCAAAATCAAGGGCGCTCATGAGTGTGGAGATTGTAGCACATATCCCGTATCCTTAATAAATGTTGACCAGAAGAAGCAGAGCCGAAATTAGATGTTTGAGTCTCATCAGAGACACCGTGCGAAAGCACGGAAGGGGTCGAGGAAGAACTCGGTTGGGCATCCTGAATAGGACGGGAAGAACGATCTTGTTGGACAGGGTGGGTGTTCTTGGGGACCCACGAAATAATTTCCAGCTCGGAGAATTGTTCCTACAGGATAGAGAGTCGAGATACGAAGTGGTGCGGATCGGCGGTCCGAGCGGTAAAGAGGAAATAGGACTACGCATACCAGTACAGATGTTCTCCGAGTCTCGTAGCCTCGTAGTGGTTCAGGACCACCTCGATGAAATACGTCAACGATTGCCCAAGGGTATTGCGAACAGGTAGCGCGTTAGATGATGTGCGAGAAGCAGGTTCCACGCTGATTGCCACAGAATTTATGGCACATGGGATGCCGCCAGCCGGATCACATCAGAACATGTGGATGTGGTCCTGGTACAACATACACAAAGTAGTATTGTAGTATACGGTCGCACAGTTGCTCGAATTTGAAATTATGCCAGCTGTCGACGGTCGTCAACTCGACCGTGGATTTCATACACGGCAGCACGCACCAACTCACTTTGCGAGCCGGTGATACGGATCGCTCCGATGGGGTGTCCTAGCGACGGAATAAAAGTAGTTATTAAACAGTCAGCTCGTATAAGGTAAACGCTTTGCAAACATACCCCTTTTTAACCGATATGACCGGAGGACTTAGGTGCCTCCACCGATAATAACATGGAGATGCGGCTCAAGCGCTCTTCAATCGCTGTCAAATCAGACATCATAGCGGTGTGCCTATGTTCCAGCGATTCAAAGATGTTATCGTCGTTTTGCAGATTACTGCTTTCCGTAAATGTAGTAGAGGGGAGGTTTAAGAAACGAGTAGAATAGGATCCAGATATTGTGGGCGTCACGCTTCTTCGGCTGAGTACAGACATTGCAGAACCAGGGCGTGGACTTGGGCTGGGACTTGGTGGTCCATCCGACTCGGTTTCCTCTGCTCCCTCAGATGCCGAAGCAGCCACCACGGCTGGGAAATCATCAGAGTCATAAGTTTTGTCAGTAACAATGGGCCGGAGACAAAAGCGCAGCTCTTTCCGAACGGTGTTTGAAAAATTTCGGCTAGAGGACTGTATCAAGCGCGGCTTGCGGCCACTAGCGAGGACTTTCTTCCTGGCACTCATTCCGATGCATTCCACAAGTTGCTTCATGGCTTCACGATCTGAAACAGCGCGCCGCTGAGCTGTACGCCGAATAGTGCCTGTGCGGGGAAGGGTGTGGAATGCTGATAAACTATGGGGACGAATAGGTGTTGCAAAAGCGGAGAAATGCGTGGCAGTGCTGGAAGCTTTGAGCAATGGACGAGGGCTATGGTTCCCGGAAGTGGCCTGTAAAGGCTGAGGAGTAGCCAATCTGCCTGTCTCGTATTTTAGAGATGAATTGGTTGGTAGAAGGTATACGTCCTCAGTAGGACCCCACGAAAATCCGATGAAGGCCGACTCGGCTCGTGGAGATATGTGATGAGACGTGTCATGCAAAATCGATATTCCAAGCGAAGTGTTTGGGGAAGAATGAAATAAAGCAGAAAACGCAAACGGCTGTGAATTGCCTTCATCCGTGGGTTCAGGGGGTTCAGGTACTGCTGATGCAGAATATGTGAATTGCGGCACGTGGATGTCAGACGGTGCAAGGCCTACGCAAGAAAGAATGGATATAAGAAGAACTATATTGATACCCAAGACTCACGCGAATCTACACAAGACCAGTCGGTGTTTCCGAAAAACTGGTGCTCTGTTATTTCCAGCACGCTACATCTCCCGAGACGATGGTGCCGATCAGTGAGAAATCTGTATCCACGTGGTTTGAATAATAGTAGCATGAATAGTGTCACAACAGACCTGTGAAGTAACTCCTGTAGTTGTTTAGAAACGGGAATCGCCGCATTGAAGCGCAAGCTTGTCTGTCCAAATGAAGGGTCAACGTAGGTACTAGCGAGCTTAGTAATACTGCAGTACCTGATAGTCCAAAATCCTCAGATAAGTAGTTCGGATGTCTTTAGCGAAGAAAGGGGCCACTCCATAAGCCAATTCATACAACATTGCACCGAGGCTCCACCAATCGACTTCTGAGCCATACGAACCAACTTCTTCGGAGAATGAAGGAGAAACATTGTCGTCCGACAACTCCAGCGCAAGGAGGGCATCTTCATGTGCTTGCAGAACTTCAGGAGAAATGTAATCACAAGTACCACAAGGAACAAGGGTATATTGTTTCGGGACTGACTGACTCCCGTCAGGCTCTGGAGGTGAAAGTGGCGCAGCAGACCCGAAATCTATTAGAAGCATGTGATTGCTTGCTGTGAGAACGAAGTTCTGTGGTTTGATATCACTGCATTGCGTTTATATGAGTACGCAACGCTAGAGGGTGGTCCTCACCGATGTACAAAACCTTGGGAATGACACCAGTTGATGGCGCAGACTGCCTGAGGAGCCCACCAAAGTAAGTCTGCCTCAGGAACTCTACCTTCAGGGCTCGACTCAAGCACGTCCCATAATGTACCTCCTTCGGCATAATCCATGACAATATTGAGATGAGTGGAGGTTTGGAATGCACAAAATAAGTGCGGAGCCCACGCAGAGCGCTCACGTTTTGCACGTAGAAGAATTTCCTTTTCCAACTGTGGAGAACATTGCTGCAGAATTTCTCAGCATGAAAAGTCGCTGATAACAAAAAAAGTGCTACTTCACGAGTCCGCTGGGCAAAATGTTTCTCAATAGATTTGCGAACATACACGCGACCATTTAGATGGCACGTCACCACGTCAATCTGAACAGACAAATCAGTGTATACGTAACATATATTCTTTACGCACTCACCGTCCCGAATTGGCCTTGGTCCAGTGTGCCCAGGGCGACAAGATCTCCATCTGAGAAACGGAGAGATTCTATCTCTGCAGTTCTCGCTATTTCAGCGGAGGTTATGAGCAAAAGACCGCCAGAATGCACCTGGCTCTCACCAGTCCTTCCTATGATCCGCTGACCATGCAAAATGCGATCCAAGGCAAGGCCTTCTTCGTCATCATCCGAGCTATTGAGTAATGAACCCAACAATGTTTTCCGTTTTGTCCAGGGTAGAGACATGCATTAGGTCAAGGATGAAAAAGATGACGTTTCTGGCTCCTATAGCTACAGAGTGATGATGATGATTACAGGAAGCTACAGACTAGTCGTTATCTAAGTCTAAAAGTGTGTTGAGTGTGTTGCTAGACAATCAATAACATTGAGCTCGGCTTTTTGCGTGATAAACGTTAACTCGTCCACACAACACCAACAACGTCCATATTACTGACAACTGGCAACCATAAATATTCACCATGAAGCTTGCAAGGTGAATATTGCGCTTGTTTCTATGATATTAGACTAACCCCAAAAGTTTTCTCTCTTCGAGCATTGCAAGGTTCGGGCGCTGACCCCAGGTTGTTTTCATCAGATTCTTGATGAAACTCAACAATGAGACGGTGACTATCGAGCTCAAGAATGGGTCACTAGTCCATGGGACAATCACCGGTTCGTCTAATCGGCTTGTTTACTCAAGCTTTACAACCCTCAAATCATTTGCAGGTGTCGACATGCAGATGAATACCCACCTCAAAACTGTCAAAATGACAGTCCGTAATCGGGACCCGACATCACTAGACTCCCTATCTATTCGTGGCAACAACGTCCGGTATTTTGTGCTCCCTGATGCACTTCCTTTAGATACCCTCTTAGTGGATGATGCGCCGAGGCCGAAAGGTAGGAAGAAGGACGAGGGGCGCGAAAGGGGAAGGGGACGAGCTCGAGGGATGGACCGTGGGCGTGGTAGGGGAAGAGAACGAGGAAGAGGAAGAGGTTTCTGATGATATGGTCAAATAGCATTATCATCGGGAGATGAAGAGTTCGCATAGGGTGCACCACCCAGCGGATGTAAATCCCTCTATGTAAATCTAAATGCTCCGACATCTGGTCCTTCTGAAAAGTGGGCGCTACGTTTAGTAAGACAGCCGTGTATTGAGGTGAGTGTCGATAATATCGTCTCACAATATAAGGTGAACTTTGGGAGCATCAACGGCATCGTCAAACAATGTGTTTTCCCAAGGGACCTTGTTGGCGTTCAGAGTCGGAGTCATTCACCCAAGCCATCAGTGTTGTAGTGGTGACAAAGGCTTTCGCTTCGAATGACATCTCGCTCGGGGAAGAGCATCATACCATAACATACCGTTTCATACCTTTTCCAGGAATTCAACATGCGTTAGTCCTTACTCAAGAGTCTATGGAGCCTGCTAGAGACTTGGAGGGGTACTAGCACATGGGAGTCAGACGAATTTCATCCGCAGCATTCAGCATTCCGTCCTTACATATGTTAGACTAGTTATATGCTGGGTTGTATACGTACCAGCGCAAACTCAAATCAAACCACGCCACGTCTGCAACGAGCTTGCCACATTATAAGACTCCGTATATCTCCAGATTGAAGCTGAGTAAAAGGCCAACAAAGGAGCTCGCGAAGGCAGAAAATAACAAGGAATTTGACCAAGAGTTTCGCACCTAAACCTTCAGCTACTCTATCGTGCCCACACCATCCCCTGATAATCTAGTAAAATTGGCACAAAATCCCAGAGGCTGAAGTCGGGCCAATAGGTATTTACCACGTGGACTACATGTTTTCGCAGTACTGTGAGAGATACAAATGAGTTTGGTGAGGACAATGCTTCGGGTGAGTATATGACTGCCATATTCGCCAACAAAAGAATATCTGCTTTGAAATGGGAGATGGAAGACAGGGAAGGAACAGAGACACACCTGCCACTGCAGAAAACTGCTCAATCGCTTCACGCCACTCGTGCGAATGAAAGTCTCGAGCGGCGGACTGCCCCAAAGCGAAGTAATGACGTTTTCCTCGATAATCTGTTCTGTGATCAATCTGCGTGTATTGGTTGGCATGAAACATGACGGAGAAGTCACACATTCAAACAACGGTCAAGGAAAGATCTGTGCTCACGAAGAACCAAAGTTCTCTCTATCAAGGGCCTACTGCACGACGGATTGTACATGTCGTCCCATGCCACGAGGCATGTGGTGCGCAGACATTTTATAAAGTTGCTCCGTTGGAGTGTGTTCAGGATGGAAGGCGAGGGTAGACAGGACATACTTGTTATTCTGACGCGTCATTTCCCTTCGCTTCATCAATTGCGACTTGAACACGCATAGGCAGCAGCTCACGATGGCTAACATACTGACCTAAGAGAGCACTGAAGAGTAATTGCAGGCAATAACATCAGGCGAGTGAGCGCTTTAAACGCAATGTATTTCAAGTAAGACCTCACCCATCCTGTGCAATCTTTACGAGCCTCTCTTCTGCTAGTTTCATGAGCGTGCAGACCTCGTCGGGTGGTCTGTTGAAGTTTGCGATCGCAAAGGCGTGGACCGTGACACGGCGTGCGTCAAAACCTATGCATATATCTAATATATGTAGTCCATGTCAGGGGATCTCCACGACTGAAACAGGATCAAGGGATGTATCCGCGTGAATGTATGCAACCTGTCTGAGTGACCCTCGACCGCGCGGCGGCCAGTGAGACGTGCAAAGGGGCGGTTAGCAACCGTTTCGAAGGCCACACATGACGTGAAATAGTGCCCACAGAAAGAACATGGAGGGGCAGAATTATGAGTTGGGCCGTGATAACTTGAAAGGAGGACTGTCCTGTCTGTCCAGCTGTGATGAAAACAACGGACTGCTTCTCTCCGGGACTAGCGGATCTCGAATGTATGATGACTATGTACTTGTTTGCGGTTTTGATCCTTGCTTTCGTTCTTATCTGTTCTACCACCGCAGTAATATCCATTTGGTTTCTTCCTCCTGGAACTTTGCCGGAGCCTTCAGATCCATCCTAGGGTGTCGCTGACACCAGCCCAGGATCCCGGGTAGACTGGTTACCAGGCCCCTCATAAATAGAGGGGCTGGTCACCAGTCTAAGGAAGTGCTACCAGAGGTCTTCCCTGAGCTACATTCCACCACAACTCTGGTGGCAACACTGTTTGAGCGACTCAACGAACGTGGCTGCAGAATAAATGAGCACAGCCACATACATTCAATTTCGGCCTCGGCGCCTCTCGACTTTCTCTAGATCTTCGTCGTCGTCTTAGACAAGCGCACACAATTTTCATACATCAATCATGCCTGACAAGCGACACGTTTTACTCTTGAATGTTGACGACATAGATGCTATCCAACCTGATGTCAAGGAGCAACCTACTCGCCCTGCCCACTCACACAAACGCAAGCGTTTTGTTGAATTCAGTGTCCTCCTCTCGCTTATTATCACTACTACCATACTTGAATTCTGGCCCCGTACTCGACACGATACGAGTACTGGAAGGGATTCATTGTACTCGAATGGAACACACGAGTTCAAGAAGACAGTGCTTATGATTTCGATCGATGGTTTTCGTGCGGATTATTTGGATCGTGGGCTCACGCCGCATTTGTTAGATATCAGCCGGGAAGGTGTGAGGGCAAAGTACATGCAACCTGTTTTCCCCGTGCGTATTCCCTTTCAGTCATTTGCTCTAGTCCTAAACATTTCCCTCTTTGCAGACTCTGACATTCCCGTAAGTCATAATTTATCAAAATAATTGATACATCCGAATGAAATTTGTTCCAGAAATCACTGGTCACTGATGTAAATATCACTCGTACATTGCTCGACATGAGCTCATGATCTAGGACTGGCCTCTACACCGAGTCGCACGGCATCATTGCGAACGTTTGTTTTTCATCACTTTCTTCAACTGTCTGGCATTCTCACATCGGCCATGTAGAACTTTTGGGACCCCGTTTTCCGAGACACGTTCCATTTCGATCGTGTTGAATCCGCGCAGAACCCGAGCTGGTGGCTCGGCGAACCTGTCAGTGCTCACCGTTTTTGTTGTATGCATGCCTAATGCGCTTCTCTTCACCTCTTGTAACTTTACACGTTCGTCTGGTCATCTGACCGACACATACATCGATCTCTCCATCCTCTGCATTTGTTACCCTTCGTACAACTTAGATGTGGGAAACCGCAGAACGTGCAGGTATCATCACCGCAAACCTCATGTGGTCGGTTTTTTCCTCTGTATCGTGATTTGCTCTTTATTCACTCGACCAGGCCTGGTCCTTGGTCTACATCCTCGGGTGTGAACTCCACATATTTTCTACCTTGGGAAGTAAGAGTGTGGTCTTAAACTCGCAAGGAATGTAGTGTGATTGAAACTGGAGCGCAGGATAACTACGCTCTCGAGAAGAAACTTTCCAACCTCCTAGAGTGGATTGACCTCCCGCTGGAAGAGCGGCCGCAGCTTATTCTTGGTGTGTTCTTGCATCTGATTCTTCCTGTGTTTCTAGACGAAATGTCTATAATCTTCTGCTTGTCTTTTCGTTCTCTTCAATTTCACAATTTTCCTTTGTGTACACTGATGTTGTTTCATAGGGTACGAACCGTCGCTAGACCATGCTGGCCATACAACAGGGCCGATGTCCAAGGCCGTTAACGTAAGCGTTGTATCAATTCCATTGGTTGATGTGCTTATCTTTTTTTTCGAACTTGCTACTTACTACAGATGAGTCTTGCAGCTGTCGATCTTTTCGCTCGGAACCTAACCCAAGCACTAGGCGAGCGCAATCTCACGCATATCGTTGATATCATCTTCGTCAGTGACCATGGGATGACGGACATGAGCCACCCAACTTGGATATATGTTGACGAGATTGTTGGTGAGCTGTGGAAAGGTGTTATCAAGATGGATGGTAAGTGATTTCAGTGTATAGTTTGCTACTTGCCGGAATGTTTTAGACTGAGTGACGGATTGCTTACCCTTCACTATTCAGGTTGGCCATCTATGGGCTTACGCTTCGCTCCTGGCACGAACGCGACTGAGGCCCTTGAGCGTCTGTGCGAGTACACACTTACCCACCCGGATCAGTTCGATGTGTTTACGACCGAGAGCTTCTCTACCGACCCCGGCACCTCCTTGATAGACCTCAACACATTCAACTACGGTAAAATGTCTGCATGCACAGTGGAGCCTGTGCCCGAACGATACCATTTCTCCCATAATTACCGCATCGCCCCTGTGTGGATTGTACCGCGCATAGGCTACGCGCTGACTGACCGCTTGGGTGGCAAAGACGGAGTGCCGACTGGAGTGAGTTTACTTTACCGTATCTTGTGTCGCTTGGTTTCTGCACTGCAGGTCATCGAGCTAACGCATTACGCCTTTCTAGAACCACGGCTACGACAACGAGGACCCGTCGATGCGTGCCATCTTTGTCGCACACGGGCCTTTCTCGCGGGGCGCCAGGGCTTCTGTAGTCGCGCGAGGAGAGGGCGATGCCACAGAGGAGTACGTGATGCCAGGGTTCCAGAATGTCGAGATTTACAACCTCGTGATGCGACTGCTGAGCCTCGACGCTACGGATATAGCTACAACCAACGGAACTGCTGGATTCTGGGATAAGTTTGTCTTGCCAGATGTTTGAACTTCGTACATATTTGAAGTCGAACTGCGTTCGACGCTTCGAGAGCTATCATTACCCATCACCTTCCTGGACGTGCTACATACATATGCATCATCTTGCTACGCGCCATAAGTATCTGACCCGCGTCCTCAATGTCGGACAATGTTAGAAAACTAAATTTTGTCATTCTCACTGCTACGAGATCAGACAAAGTCTTCGACTGCGTGACTACATGTTGAACTTGGGGAGTACCAGAAGTCCTGTCTAGATATTCGTTAATGAAGCACTGGCAAGAATGAACCGCATAGTCGAAAGACTCATATTATATTCCCTTCTACATAAGTATCATCTGCTACAACATATTCAATGTTCTCGGTACAGTACAAAACAGCAGTAAATATATTCAGCGAGGATATCATCAACTCGAGGAAACTCCGGATCTTCGATTACTTCTGCATCCAAGTCATCTGATTTGCTGTTGCGCCGCGATTTGTATGACCCTGACAATCGTTACTCTTGCGCAATTGGGGGACAGAGTACAGGACGAAATTGCAAGATGGTGATGTCGTAGAGGTTGAAGTCATCTTAAAACTGCATGTTTGTTCGATTTATTTCCTCCAGGTTTCTCTGACAATTCTTACCAGGTGGAAATCAGGCCACCGAAAGATGCACTGTCCGACAGTCGCGACGCTAACTTGAATGGGTCGCGCATATATCAACTTATGCTGCGGCGTATGCACGGAGAAAGCTTTCCATGATCCAAAAGGCAAAATGAAGGCTACTGATGAGCTCGGAGGTCAGTCACCTGCTAAGAACTCGAAGATGTCGACCGAGAGCCATGACGTCTTTGACATGGAGCTGGAAGCTGATGATGATTATCCTGACTCGAATGCTATTATGAAATTTGTAGTGCTGCATCTGATTTGCGAAGTGTCTGATTGCTGTACATACTCGATTGTTTGTTGTATATCGATAAACTGTTTGCTACCAATCCATCGTCATATCTTGAACTCCGAAGTTGAACTCGGGGACTGGCGCTTCCCAGCGCTGCTATGATATAGGACTACTAGAGAACCGCTTAAAGTCATGTTCAGATGAATGAACCTCACCGGTTTTCCCACGAATTGCGATCAACAACCGTGACCTTGAGTCACTGAGCTACGCGGTTTCCTTGGGTGCAGGTACATACTCGAATCTCTTTCCTTCTTCCTGCTCCAAAAGATCGAACTCGGGCATTCCGGCAAAGTTGCCCCACAACTCAGATCCAAGGTATTCGTATGTCTGGGCCGCACTTGCTGGGTCAATAAGACGTGTTTTTATTCCACGAGCAGCGGCGGCCTGGTCCGCTGTCATTTGAGCCTGGCAGCACTTTTCCAAAGAGATGAAAAAATAAACGGTAGATTCAATCGACTCGGTGGAAACAAGGATCCCGTGGTTCTACACGAGGGAGCATGATAAGCAGGTGAGAACGTTTGACTGAGCTCCTAGAGATACCTGGAGGATGACAGCCTAGTAGAATCTTATGAGCATTGACACATGTAAATCAACGCATTTGCAAACCTTTTTCGAACCAAGAGCATTCGCTATGGCCACACCTTCCTCGATATCATCGACAATGCCATTGAATTCGTCATACAAAGCATGATCCTATAGGTCATTTTCGTTGAATGGGGATATCTCTTCAAAAACGGATGAATACGAGATTACCTTATAAAACGCACAGCTGTCCTGAGTAAGGGGATCAAGAGGTATCCCAAGAGTGCCGAATGCCTTAGCATACGTAGTATGCGAATGCGCAATGCAGACAACATCCGGGCGAGCTTGATGAATCGCTGAATGGATCAGGAACGCCACCCCGTTGAGCCACCGGGAAGGTCCAGATTCATTTTCCTGTATATTCCCTGCTTGGTCCACGAGAATGAGGTCCTCAGGCTGCATGAACTTGAAATGAACACCCTGTGGCCCCGCAACTGGTGAGTAACATGATTTCACTATCTTGACAAGATATCAATCACCCAGGGGTTTGAACCAGTAACAGTCTTTTCTGATCGGGTCCTTTTGACGAAGTGATTAGAAATGACGGTCACGCGCAGCATCATATGAGCGTTACTCTTACCTGGACAGTATATGTCCAGCGACCCCTTCATCAAAACCGTACTTTCCTGCTTTGGCATGAATACGACGAGCGCTTCTTGTTACAAATAGAGCTCACCAAAGATGCGATATGCTTGAGCCAAGCGGAATTTTAGGAACGCCCGATGTTCGAGTGGGTCAGAAAACGTGCGAGGAACCGGTACGGTTTTTTTCCAAAGATCAAACTTGCTCAATGGTGCGGCCATAGTAGTAGATGTACGATTTGAAACGGAGGGGTTCTAGTACTTATACTGACCCTGCCAACGAGCGCTTACAGGCTTCCTCTTCGTCGTTCTCACAAAATATCCGACTTGCGTAGGACATAGCAGGTACTAGTAAGCACTATGCTCGTAATCACGGCCCAGCTGTGATCACAAGCTAGCTTATCGCACTTAAGACATGCAACGTGATCTCCTCGGGCTGTCGGCGGACCAGATAGAAGAAAGTTAATCACTCGTCTCTTCTGTATGACACATGTATCAGACATTATCATCAGAGAGCCGGTAAGCCGAATCCCCAAATACCTCGATGCGTGGGAACGCTTTCGAAAAGACTGTATAGTGATTGGGTGCCGCGTGATTAGACTCGTAACCAGTCTGACCTGGTCACGATGCCTAGCGTGAATCGTGATTCAAATCGATTAATCACCAATCAACTGTACAGTTTTTTTCGACAATAAGGATAGGCTTCACTTGAAGTTGGGTGTCACTTGTGAATTTGATGATGTGCACGGCCCGGCTCGAGGCCGGACCAAGCCGGGCCCAGCATAGTCACGGCCCGAGGAAGGCTTTTGCATGTGAACTGTTCAGTGGCACTGCCATAGAAACCTTGCGGAGGTACATTTCCTGACTATCTAATTTTTTTCTTTCCAAGCTTCAGACTTCCACCCCCATTAATCAGCTTCGACTCGGATGGTCCACAATTGTCCAGCGCTATTATTATGTCCTGTGCTTCGCGCGCTCAATATACTTACCATGACATCGTGCTCTACCCCCCCTATGATTCTCGAAGTCAAGGACTCAGAATGGCTTAATGTAACAGTGTATAGTGCGTTAAGCCAATATTTTTGTCCACTAATATTCCTGTAGTCGCTCAACTTCAACGTTTATGGTTAGGGTTATGATTATGTAAGGTGCTGGATCACAAGTCCTTCAAGTGAAGCCTATCCTTATTGTCGAAAAAAACTGTACAGTTGATTGGTGATTCATCGATTTGAATCACGATTCACCGGCTAGGCTCGTGACCAGGTCAGACTGGTTACGAGTCTAATCACCGGCACCAATCAACCATACAGTCTTTTCGAAAGCGTTCCCACGCATCGAGGTATTTGGGGATTTGGATCCTACTTCGTGGGAAGTCGGGGAATACACGAAAACACGGGCCACTCAAAACGAAACAAAAAATGTAAGGTAAAAACACAAACATCAAGTCATCAGTAAACCGGTGAGACTCAGATATTAGTCGATGTTGTAAGCCAGATGCTTCTTTCCTCTACATCAACACCACGCGGAACTTGAGCTTCTCGATATCGATGTGGCCGGCCGCGCTGTTCCTAGTACTAGAGGGTTGACAGTCCCGACGTTATCTGGACGGAGGGGCTGTATCACGGTGCTTGGCGTTGAAGTTCCAGACACAGAAGGTGCCAGCGACGGTGAAGGTGTATGAGTTGCCTGAAAGAACATATTCCCGCTCGTAGACCTCGCACCCGCACTAGCATTCGTTGGTGTCGGAGGAGAGTCGCCTTGAACTACGGTCCCAAAGTCCGCGCTGCAGATAATTATATCATACGGTGCATTCGTGAGGTAACGCAGAGTGCTAAGCGTGGGCAGATGAGCGTCCTCATCGCACCCGGTCAACTTGAATCATACGTACAAATCAAGGCATCATGCAGTTGCACGAGACGCCTAGGTATTGCCAACTGACAAGACTCGGCTCCTGGGCTCACGTTCGTTGAGTATCTGGCACGAGTCCTCAATATTGGACAGTGTTAGACAACTAAATTCCTTCATTCTCACCGCTACGAGATCAGATAAAGTGTTCGACTGCATAACTACGTGTATACCTTCAACCTAACTGGATTCTTGGACAGCACTCGCGGGCAAAATGCACTTAGCCGAGTAGAGGTAAGGGCTACAAGTACTATCTTTCCTTGCGCCTGTTCTAACTTCTAAGCAAGGTAGGCTGGAGCGTCAAATTTCGCTCACTGTGAATACTTATGCCGTGTTTTAGAGAATCAAAAATCAACAAAGATATTGCTGGACGCTCAAGACTCCGTATTAGTAGACAGATGATCTAAACAGTCTCCTAGGGTGCAGGAACATACTCGAATCTCTTTCCTTCTTCGTGCTCCAAGAGCTGAAACTCGGGAATCCCATTAAACCAGCCCCCCATCTCAGACCCAAGGCGTTCCCATGTCTGGACCGCACTTGCTGGGTCAATAAGACGCGGTTTAAGTCCACGAGCCGTGGCGGCCTGGTCCACTACCATTTGGACCTTGCAGCACTTTTCCAAAGAGATGAAGAAGAAAACGGTAGATTCAATCGACTTGGTGGCAACGAGGATCCCGTGGTTCTACACGATGGAGCATGATAAGCAGGTGAGAACGTTTGATTGAGCTCTTAGAGATACCTGGAGGATGACAGCCTAGTAGAATCTTGTGAGCATCGACATATGTAAATCAACGCATTTGCAAACCTTCTTCGAACCCAGAGCATTGGCTATAGCCAGACCTTCCTCGCGGTCATCGACGATGCCACGAAATTGGCTA